AAATATTCTTAACTTTACTCATGAGTTAGAAAATCTGGAAAAAAATTTAAAATAAATAGCAGCTATAAAGAATTTTATTGGTAAAAACATTTTGTAAATGCGAAAACGTTTACTCACATTTAATCATTTCTGATTGGCTGTGCCACACAAATTACTTATCGCTGGAAACTTGTTGCCTCACACCTGGTGTTCTTGGCCACTGTTGAAACATCTAATATGATATAATAACATATTAGCAATTGAAATGTTTTCTACAGCAGCCAAACCTTGACTCTCTTGTCTGATTACTCTACCTGTACTGTCTTTCGCTGGCTGCAGGTGTGGTTTCAGAACCGGCGTGCCAAGCAGCGCAAGCAGGATCGTGTCTCTCAGAAAGTGCTGCCCGTGGGCATGATGCCAGGACGAGGACCTCTCTTCAGCAGCATGTGCGTGTCTCCCTCCGCCATGAGCCGGCAGTACCAGTGCCCTCATTCACTGCCGCATATCCCCCGATTCTCATCAGTGCTGTCCCCTGGAGGATACCCACCCCAGCCGTCCTCCGGCTCTGCTCCATCATCACACGCCTCCAGACAGCCTGACGACTGGTACAGTCAGCTGCGCAGCATCGGGCCAGCCACCACTTCAGTGCTCTCCCTGGCCTCTGTGTCCACACTGGAAACCACTAGTCACTGGAACTAGAGCAAGTGCTGTTTTACCACCGTTTTATACAGAATGAATAAAACTTTTCAGTGACAAAGAAAGATTGACATTTTCTGTCTTTATTACAGTTGCAATCACACAGAACAGATTCTCTCAATTATTGCTGTAGACAAACAATCACATTTATGTTGATTCCTTTGTTAACACTGAACTGTGACAATTAAATTAGATTCAGTCTATATTGAACATACTGTATAGACTTTATAGAAGGACTATTATAAAAATGTCATTCTCAGATCCTTTGAACAGTTGAATTACATTTCCATTTAAAGTCTTGACTAACAATTTACAGCTTTGGTAGAAATAAATTACACGGTTTATGTCAAGCGCTGTTCTTCTTGCCATTTTATGTATGTAAAATGAACAGACATGGGTCAAGGACAATATTTAAAAAAAAATTGTTTAAAACAATATGTGCTAAGTTGCTAGAAATGTGCTCTCTGTAGTCACATTGGTTACATACAGTTTAACTTTTTTTTTTTTTACCATTATCAAGAAAGATTTGTATTTTTTTTGCATTTTAGTTGCACCACACGATTTGACGGACATAAGCTTATCCAAATATTAATTAGCAGGGTTCTTTTTTTCTAAAGAATAACAGTTAAAGATTATGCCAAAACACTTTCTTCTGAAAAGTGTCATTCTTTTAATGAAGCGTTTTTTTCTTCATTATGATATCAAGATAGTTTTTTGTTTTTTTTTGCTTCATGCACTAAAAATGATTTGTTTATTTTTTAAATAAAAACATCATGATCAAAGAAGCATATTAAAGTTTGGAATCATTAGGATTTTTTTATGTTTTTCAAAGAAGCCTCTTATGCTCATCAAGGCTGCATTTATTTGACGAAAAAAACAAACACAACAGTAATATTACAAAATATTATTACAGTTTAAAATAACTTAAAAAAAAATAAAAATGATGCCCTAAAAATGTTTTTTTTATTTTTTTTATTTTATTAAAAACAATCAAAAAGAAGTGTAGCCTATTAAAGTCTCTATATGGATAAAGTACATTATAAATGTATTTCCTAATAAATTCAGACAAAATGAGCATCATGTCATTGACCCATATGACATTTTGTGTACATTCAGACTCTAATAGCAAGCTGAAAATCCGTGCACCATTATGTTTCAGAGGATACAATTCCTATTTCTGTTTTAGAAATGCATAACATCATCAAAATAGTACTAATACTCGTTTTTAATGTCAAGCAAATGAACATTAGGGCTACAGAGGGATTCATGAACATGTACATGTCCAAACAGGCATATTGCACATTTATATGTAAATCTAGATAATCCCAAATCTAGATAGGTAGATGCTTTGTGCTTAAAGTATTTAGTCATTGCAGATGGTTTTGAATGTTTTTTTTTGTAATGACAGTAACAGTGATAATCCCTTTAAAGCAGCACTATGTAACTTTTTTGTAACGCATTTGCCATCATTTATCAGCACAGCAGCAATTATTATTCCACTTTAGCTTAATTTAACCATCAGCTTTGCAGGAAAGGGTCACTGCAAAGTATTTATTCGATAATAACAATTTATGCTCGTTTACGGTGGATACATTTGGCAGTTTATATATTAAAGGGATAGTTCACCCAAAAATGAAAATTTGATGTT